TCGAGAGAGGTCACCCGGATATGGTTCCCCCTAGACTGCAGTTAAGCCGGATTACAATTTACCAAGTTCAGTTCTATGATAGTTATACTGCGGGAGGTTCTTAAACAGTCTGAAGTCTCGACTAAAGGTCTCTAGACCCTCTCAATCTGAGTCCCATTCGGGCGACTAACTGACACGCCAAAACACAACACCAAACTGCGACCAAGTGTAATCGCAGTCCGGGAATGCAGTAACAGGCAAGTTCTATTATCAACCCGGGGTCTAGATCTACTGCTTACTCCGTGATTGTCTATTATCTAGCAAACTAATTCGAGTGATTGTTGTTTAAAGCAAAAGCAGTAAGTAAGCAGTAAATTGTTCGGTTTTCAAAGTCAGGAAAGAGTCACTCGGGATTGAGTCCCCCTAGCCCCTTGATTAGGTCCAATTGTAATTCCCCTGGGTTGATTCACTGTTGATTAGACTGCGGAAGTTCCGACAGTAGGTTGGAATCTCTTAAGCTGACCAAGCCCTCTCAATCTAACTACCCGGCAAACGACTAGTCTTCACCGGGATAGGAAGCTGAGGCTATGAACACAGAACTCCACTACTGGAATTGAATTCCAGTACAAAGCAGTAAACTGGCTAACTCTCGTATAGCCAATCTCCTACTATCGAATGAAGAGGCTCTAACAACCTAATCAGATTCTATCTATCTCAGGTTGCAGCAGAAATCGAGAAAAGCTGATCAGACTCCAATCAATTCAATAAACATGCATCATTCGATTAAAATCAAACAGTATAATCATCCCAAGTCATTACAATCAAATCCCTAACACAAGGAACTAGGGTTCTTCATACCCAAGTGAGAGAAGGGTTCTACTCCATAGAGAGAGCAGAGAAAACAGTAATCGGAGTAGTCATACTCATAATGATGAGGAAAATCTACTCCGGGATGATGATTTCCACTCCTATGACGATCTCCAAGCTTGATTCGATGAAACCCAGCTCCAAGATAGCTTCTAGGATGTGTTCTTCGTACTTTCTCTCTCTAGGGCTCTGTTTTTGCTCTGAAAATCCGATTCTCCCACTTTTGGCTCGAAATTGGCTCAAAAACCATAATTTCCCGACTCACACGGGCAGGCCACACGGCCGTGTGGCTCACCACTTTGCCCGTGCGAGCCGAAACGCATCGTATGGATTAGTTCGGTCTTCAGTCATCTCACACGGCCAGGGTTGCACGGCCGTGTGAGAATTCCAGTCTGCCCGTGTTTGGCCTCGGCAAAAATCACACGGCCACAATTGCACTTCGCACGGCCATGTGAAAGCTACTTGTGCCCGTGATTGCTCTCGGTGGAAATCGCACGGCCACCTTGCTCACTTGCACGGCCGTGTGAGGCCTCGGTCTGCCCGTGCGGCTTCCTTGAAACCTCGCCATTCGTCCGATCTTCGTCCAATCGACCCCAGACTCGCTCCCAAGCCTCCATTCACGTACTAGGACCTGAAATATCACAAACAAGCACAACCTAGCGTGAAATCGGCCTAAAACACGAGAATCAACACCTCAAACGGTGTAAGAACAGGGGTAAAAACATGTGTAAATAACGGTCTATCACTAACCTCCACCGGAGTAAACAGATTGAGGCCCTAACGAACCAAACCTCCACTACCGAAGTAAATTCCTTACAGAATAGTGAATTGGCTCCTCGACTAAAGTCACCAATTCACTACCTTCAATTAAGGGTGCTCTATCAACCTAGGCAGATATTCTCTTTCTACGTTAAAGAAGAAACAACAGGAATTTGATCAGGATTCAAGTCATTCAATCATTCAAGCCTCAATCGAATATAATCAAATCATAAAATATGTACTTGGGTTCATACAATCAGACGTAACATACAAATCTAAGGTTCTCCATACCCAGATGAATGGGAAAAATACTCCATGGAGAGAGAAGCAAAAGCAAATTCAGATGCAGAAATCATACTGTGAAGGATGAGTTTCTGCTCCTGGTCGTCAATCGGCACTTCTCCAAGCTCAAGCCGGACTCCAATGGTGATGAAGATCAAGCTAGGGCACTTGGGAACTCTGGTTTGTCGCTTTCTCTCTCTAGGAATCGCTCTGTCTCTCTAAAACTCGGAACCCCCATCTCCTTTGGCTCAAATTTGCCTAAAAGGCCAACCCTGGGCAAAACACGGTCGAGGGCACGGCCGTGCTTTGCTTTGGCCCGCCCGTGCCCTTGCCACGTGTTAAAAACACGGCCACACCTTTGGAGAAACACGGTCGTGGCTGAAGCTGGACACGACCGTGTTCTGGGTCAGTCTCGCCCGTGTTTTAGGCCAGCGCATGACAACCTTGGACCAAGGCTCGGCATAAAAAACACGGTCCAGGAACACGCCCGTGTTTTGATTTATGCGCGCCCGTGTTTTGGCTTTCTCATCATTCAGCTCTCGGCAATAAAAACACTGGCGTGCCTTGTGGTGTACATGGTCGTGCTCTTCATGCCTCCTGCCCGTGCTTTGGTCCCAGCTCGACCAAATGACTTCCAAATGCCTCGAAACTCGTGCTTAGCCTTCCCTTTGACGTCTGGGACCTGAAATATGACAAAGTAGCACAACCCGGCGTAAAATAGGCCAAAACACACGACTATGCCCCGCAAATGGATAAGAACTAGGGGTACAAACACGTGCAATTACAACGTTATCAGTGTTGTTAGACTTATTCGCGATGTCGTCTAACCTCTCCGCGACGTCTTTTGAATCCAAACGACATTATTTTTGTCATGCGGAATTAAATGCCGAGACTAATTAATTCGGCATTTAATTTAGTCCAAAATAATTTTAGGTGTCAACATAGTCATTTGCCGAATTGAGAGCATTGGAAACTGACGACAATTGCTAATCCATTTCTTTTCCCCCGTTTAAGAGCTTGATTGGTAATTTCTGATGCTCGACTGTAGGAGGGATTACTAGCAAAGAAGCGGGGCTGCGACCCACCGTCATTACAGCCGGAGACTTGCTTTATTGGCAGATGGAACGCTGCCGCCTTCCTCCGACCAACGTTCTCCTTCTTCAAATATCATCGCCACTTGATACCATACCTCCGAAAACATGTAGATTAGGTTGATTCCCTACCCCCTGTCGGCGAGGGGAACAAATAAAACAAAGATTAGGCGGACTCGAGGGGAGGGATTCTATTCGGGTGCCTTGAGAGGGATTCGATGCACCTGCCGGCTTAGTAAGCATGGCTGGATCTAGAAATTGATTTCCAAGAGCAAATATGATGAGTAGGCGGCGGAGAAAGAAAGAAGGAGAAGGTAGCGATGAGTGTTTATTTTTCTGTTTTTCCTTTATTTATTTTTTAGTAAAACATGGAATTTAATTTATTTACAACTTGTGGCTGATGTGGTTTAGGTGGACGAATGTCATTAAGAGTCGAGCATATTATGGTTTCTGTTAAGTCAAACCGTTAAACTTAACAGTCAACAGAAAACCCATAACACAAATGGCGCTCACTCTCAAATCTCAATAGGTTGGATTATTATTGTAATTATTGAAGTTTTCATAACATAAATGGCAAGTTCGCTCAAGGTTGGTATTTCTAGTGGTATTGCCCCTAAATAATATATATTATAGGTGATTTTTTATAAAACAATTGTCCAAAAATGACAAAATCTGACCCAAGCATATGCAAACCCGACTTCATTGGTGGCAAGGCGGAAATCTTACACGGTCCGCCATAGGCACAGACGTGTGTCTTACTGAAGGAATGTGCAAGTAGGGAATCCGCCTCCATAGTTGGACATGCATAAAAATGTACCCGACTGCACTGTTGAAAGGGCGGGTTCAAAATCCGAATCTAACACAGGTTGAAGCGTGTTAGACGCGCGCCTCGCCGTCGGCACAAACGTACACGTCGCCCGTTTCCCGGGAGGGACGGGCAGGCTGTCTATCCGCCTATGTCTTGGAGGGATCGGGTTCAACCTGTTTGTCCAGCAGGGCTTGTATTTTAAACCTTTCGACCTCATTTTTCAGAAGAAAAAAAAATCAAGCACATCATTACTTTCGTCCGAGCGATGACTACCTAGCAAAGCGATGACACCGGCAGAAATCGGCAAAAACTAACCAATGAAGAATAAAGTAGTTGGATTTTGTGTTGTGTGGTGTTTGATTTTAGTTTTTTCTATTGATGATTGTGTTCTCTACAGAGAGAAAGAGTGGAAAAGTGTTTGGGACAATTGGGTCTTACAATATATGAGTTTTGAATCCTAGACTTAAAATGAGGGTAGTTGAATAATTTCTTATGACTTAGAGCGATAAATACAAATTAGTTTGGGCGATAATATTAACTCTTTATAATTCCAAAGGTTGTCAAGCCGAGGTTCGACTCGTCGGTTGACCCCGACTCTTTGACAAAAACGTACAACATATTTCCTATGGTCGACCCGCTGCAAGGATATCGGGTTGGAGATCACACGACGTCGTTTTTCTTTTGGCTTTGCGAAATGTGTCTCTTTTATGATTTTCCTCCTCACCTAACCCTATTATTGGAATTCGAACCTGAATATTTGAATATTGATGTTATGATTTATAAATTTTGGATGAGATTTGATATAGTTTATAAATGTATGAAAAATATAATGATTATTGTATATATCTGGGGTAAACTGGACTATTAACCCACAACCCAATTACACGTAGGGGTGTGCAATGGTCCAGTTCAGACCGAACTATACTGGACCAAATCAAAGTTTGGACCGGACCGCGCCTGATCCAGTACAATGCGATCCGGTCCTTGGTCTACATAAATTTTACAATTACTAAATAAATGATGGACTGAACTGATATTTGGATCGGACTGAAGCAAACCGAACCAAATGAACCAAACACAATAATAATATGATAATGAGATGTCTTTCACTAATAGATCGATGTTTTCATGACCAGACCAGACCGAACCGATACCCGACCAGGAGAACAGGCTGAATTTGACAAGGTTGATAATTTCCTCCGGCTCTTCCCGTCCCGCCCCGTCGCGTAGATTCCTTTTTCCTGTATCTGTTTTTCCCCATTCCAATTTCCACATACGTCTCCTCCAGTTCGTTTTCGTTCTCAAGATCAAAGCCCTTTCGTAGCCTTCCCGACTCCTCGTTGAAACCTCCTTGACTACAATAACAGATCGACCATATCCTTCGGTAAGTCTCTTTCTCGCTTTCAATCTTACAAGAGCACCCGACTCGATCTTTGTGCACTTAATCTGGATCCTACTTCAAATCACGTTTCTGCAGTCAATCTTGTTGTGAATCCGCGAATACGTGTTACTGGCTTTCAGATATTCTGGGCCGGGTTAATTTCGACTGAGGGTAGTCGCTGAATTTGTTGGGGTTGACCCTTTGAGACTTAGTTGGAGGATCAAATGCTTTTGGTTATGCTTAACCTTTTGAGATTTCTACGATGTTACGATCTGTTGTAGTTAAATCAAAATCTGGTTAAGTTGTTAGAGTTCCATTGTACTTCTTGTCTTTATGATATAGACACCAGTGTGATCGGATGATGTGTTGTTGGTGGATTACCTTCCGCTCGTTTTACCCGCACGCCATGTTTGGATTGGCATTATCAGTTGATGCTGCTAACTGCTGAGCCTCTCAAGTTTGGATCTTGGATGGATTTAAATGTTGTTCACATTGAGGATTATCATGGCTTCCTCGTACCTTTTTGTTTGAGCCATTTGATTTATATTATTCCGAGGGGTATCTTATTCCCCATAGACATGTGCTGATCGGCTAAGTTTTACTTTCTGGGATTTTGTGATTGAAAAAGATAAAGAATCTCAGGAAGAATGGAGTCCAGCAGAGGTAATGGAATTCAACTCCTTCTAGCTGCAGAGCAAGAAGCTCAGCACATTGTCAATGCTGCAAGAAACGGTGAGCCCTTACGTGCTTGTTAAGCATCATCATATTACACCTCTGATTATTCATTTTCAATATATGGGTTTCATTCTCGTGGCTTGCTGTAGTTTGAAGTTGTGCAATCTTGATTAGTTCTTGATACCAATAGTTAGTTTAAAGCTGTTAGATATTTGTCGAAGTAGGTTAGAATTTCATGTAAAGGCTCAGACTGAATAATTATCCTATATCTTAAAGCTGTTAGATATTTGTTGAAGTTGGTTAGAATTTCATGTAGAGGCTTGCTGTAGTTTGAAGTTTTGCAATCTTGATTAGTTCTTGATACCAATAGTTAGCTTAAAGCTGTTGTATATTTGTTGAAGTTGGTTAGAATCTCATGTAAAGGCTTGGACTCAACAATTATCCTATATGTTGAGCCAGTTTAGTTTCGATCTTGATAGTCTCATTTTGGTGAGTATTAGCTCATGTTTTCGTTAAAGTGGGTTCCTAGCACTTGTGCGTTCATAGCGTTTCCCTCTAGACTCCTGAAACATCAAGTTTCAATTGGAACTCTTCTAATCTGGAATTTCAAGACCATTGTGTTGTTTTGCTGGTGAATCTAGGTTATTGTATAAACTTTACAGAAGTTCTTTTTTCTTTTCGATTCATTAGTTGTTTCCTTAAGTGAATGTAGAAATGATGGGATTAGTTGTTATTGTTTTTGTACTTGGATTGTCCCATAACAGTTTATTTCTCCTTCAGCGAAATTGGCTAGGCTGAAACAAGCCAAGGATGAGGCTGAAAGGGAAGCTACAGAGTTCCGTGCCCAAATGGAAGCTCAATATCAGAAAAAGCTGACAGAGGTAATCTTCTAAAGAATTTGATGAACCTCATTGTTTGTGTCCCATGCTTGTTTAACTTTCCATCAAGTTGCTTGTTTGGCACATTACGTCCTTTTACAAAGAGTCTGACTTGCTTGTACTCCTGTGGAAAACAACAGACCAGTGGCGACTCTGGCGCTAATGTAAAGCGGTTGGAGCAAGAAACCGAGGTGAAGATCGGTCACCTGAAGTCAGATGGTTCTAGAATCTCTCACGATGTTATAGACATGCTGCTGAGGCAGGTTACCACGGTTAAGAACTAGAAGGATATTTGAGTGATCGATAATCTGGTTGGACAGATTGTTTCTAGAGAGAGAGATGAGCATTGTGATATGTAATATGTTGAAGGAGAGATATTGGAAGTTGATACTTGGTATGTATGTGATTTGCATTCGAACCTACATGATTTTATCTCGCTGTACTATTTGATCATGTCCGTTTCTGTGGTGTTGAATAAAATTTCCCCGTTTTAAATGATTCTTCACGTTAATATATAAAGTTGAAGTGGGTAATCCCTAAAAAATTACACTCTAGCAAGGTTGACCCTTGGTCTACCCACTTTGACCATGACCCGGTGAGAAAAATGGGCATCACCGCACGCACTCGTCGGGCCGACCGCTACAAAGTACCGGGTTGGAGGTCAAATTGTGTCATTTTTTCTTTGGTTTGCGAAATGCGCCTATTTTCCTATTTTTCTTTTCGCCTAACTCAATCTTTGGAATGCTAAGTTGAACATTCGAATAGTTATGTTAAATAAGTGTGTGAATTTTCACTATATGTTGGATCTAAGTACGATATGTTATTTTGATGTAATATTATATGTTATAACTCATATGTTTGATAATATTTGATATAATTTATGAGGATAAGTACAATATAATGACTTTTTCCATATTTCTGGGCCAAACCGGGCTAAAACGGTTGACCCATTAACCCTTGACCCACTAGGTTGACCGGATCCGGGTCAACCCGCGGGTGGACAACCTTGCACTTTAGTTATTATGTACATTTTACATTTTGATACCCAAACTTTAATTTTTAATGTAAAATATCATTTGAAAGTTATATTGTGGCACCTAAATTTTATGAGATTTAAGTACCTACAATTTTTTAAATTTATATATTGATCGAATGTTTAGATTTCATTTGAATTCATGAATCAATACACCAACCTTTTTGAACCAATCCATAAATCCAATCCACCATAAAATAAAAGTATAAATTCATTTTGTACCATAAAGTTGAAGTGGGATTGCTGTTCCCGAAAAATAACACTTTATTTACTATGTTCATTTTACTTTTTGATACCCAAAGTTTAATTTTTAATGTAAAATATCATTGGAAAATTACATTGTGGTACTTAACTCTTATGAGATTTTAGTACTACAGTTTTTTAAATTTACATATTGGTTCTATGTTTAGATTTCACTTGAATCCATGAATCAATCTGCCAATCCTTTTGAATCAACCATGATCCAATCCACCATAAAATAAAAGTATAAATTCAGTTCGTAACATACAAGATTTTGTATCACTCAAATGTAGGAGAAGACTCGACTATTTTTGTCTTCGATGAGATTTTTACTTCAAAAAAATATGTATGTCATCATTGAAAAAATAATCACAATTTCTTAAAAGAACATTCTATTGGGTGACATGATAACATATTTAGTAAAATATACTACGAGTACGTTAAGATATTGATCTGCACGAAGTTTTTATGTATTCTTCGTCTAACTCTAATTAGTATACTATTTTTATGTATTCTAATTCACAAGTATAAACGGGCTCATACACGACTTGCCAACAGTTTATAGAATTAATAATTGAAACATGAACCACTATTTTTTTCTGCTCAATATCGAGTCAAATTAAAAATAAATATATATGGTTTCTACTTATTATTAGGATGTCATTTTCCACTATGGGATTTGAATGCGTGAAATTTTAAGCGAGTTCCAGTTTGTATTACTTTTGTTTCTCTCTAGAGTTTTTCTATCACCCGGGCTAGAATTTTCAACAATTATGCATGGAATATTTGGCTAGATATACATATATTAAATAAACTGTTTCCATTTTTCTATAAAAAAAAGTAAATAATTATCATCTTAAATACATCACCATAAAAGAAATTAAGTCTCACTGAGCAACTACAACAACACAATAGTTGAGTAGCCCGCGGCAAAGCGCGATTCCAGCCTAGTATTATATAATAATGGGTAGATTACAACTGGATTTACTATGTTAACTAAATGACTTGACAATTAAAAAATAATATATAAACTTTAATTAAAATTTTTACAATTTTCAACTCATTTTCACATAAAATAAAATAAATAAAGCTGAAAACAATTATTAGAATTACCAATGCCGAGATCGTCGACATGCTGCGAAAGCACACCTACGATGACGAGCAGGAGTAGAGCCGCCGGAAAGGGCAGTGGAAATAGAGCAGCCGGCTCAATTCCAATGGTTACAATGTTGGGTCGGACTGACTCATGATCCCCAAGCAGCACGCCGAGTAGCATTCCCCGCTAAAAAGCGGCAGTAGCAGCGGTTTGAGCAGTAGACTGCTGAATTTTCGAGGATGCGGCGGAGACAGTGGTACTAGAATAGCAGCCAGAGCTACGTGCTGACGAAAGGGTGGAGTTCGTGAAGGAAAAGGGCTTGAAATCCGACAACATTGTCAGCTTACATAAGTTCGCATCCCGATAGGAGCAGGAAGAGCAGCGGAATGTGAAGGTGTCTGATTCCCATCTCTATATCTCTATCATAATGGAATGTGAAGGTGTAGCAATCATAACTCCACTCTCCCTCTCCAATTAGTGAAGGAGAAAGAACACTCATCATCGACGATTTCCTCCTTCGTCTCTAAATATAGATTACAACAAGTATCCAATCTAATGTAATGTAAGGTAATGATAGATCGCCTCTAAAAGCAACTCATCGCTTCCCCTGACATTTCTCCTCGTCTTCCATAACCAATAAATCCCAATGAAACACCAGAAGTAAATTAACCGAGTCTATGTGGGAGTAATGGGAAGAGATCAGTGAGGGAGATTGAGATGGTGGTGTTTGAATATTGCAGTAAAAAACAGAGGATCTTTGGAGCTTTGTAGCATATCATCATCACAACCTTGCTCAGCGCTACGGTGACCAGCCAACAAACGTGTGTCGACGGGTCGGTGCAGAACGGCGGTGCAGTGGTGGTCGGGGGAGCCGACATTGGGTTTGTCGCCGAATGTGAACACGACGTGGCTGTACAGCTCGCAATTGGCAATTCTAATAATTTTTTTCTATTTTAATGGGAAAATGAGTTGAAAATTGTAAACTATTATATTTATTATTTTTTAATTGTCACATTACTTAGTTAACTGTCAATTTTGAGAGTTCACTGTCACATCAGACAAAGTTAACGGAGTTGGACGAAGAGTGGCCAAATTTGGAATGTTTAACTAATTTTAGTGACCACGAATGGAATTAAATACTTTTAGTTACTAAACGTGAACTTTTTAATAAACCTAGTGACCAACCTTGAAATTTACCCTATAATATTGGAAAGTAACTGAATCACTATTCGTCGCCCTCAAATTCAAAAAACATCGCCCTAAACCACACTAAATTGACACATCTACCCCTAATCCAATTCTAACGTAAATCCTAGCAAACAATCTCTCCCCTCAACCCCAAGGCCCAAACCCGTCACATTGGGCAAAGCCGCCGCACCAGAACTGCTCCCCGCTGCTGACGCCGGGAGGAAAAGGAAACATAATTAGAGAATTGAGTCTAGTCTCACTTGATTTCTTAGCTCCACTATGCGAGGTTCCTTGTCCAAATGTTCTCCCGATCATCAATGAATGGACATTATTAGCATTCCCCTGGTTCATTAGGAAGTCAGAAGAGAATTCTTGTTAGACATCCAGGCCACTCACTTGCAAGCTGCAAAGTCTCCTTGCGAAGTTCATCTCGTATCTAGTCAGTTGAGGAGGAATTGTTAGAAAGGAGGTAAAGAACTGTAAGATTATGAACAATGTGGTAAGATGTAACTGAAAGATCCACTCTTAATTAATTCATGCAATATCACAAGCTCATACTTGCCCTTTGCAAAGTTGGTACTTCATTTTTGGATCACCGTGAAGCAAGATCAGACAAATGGCCATTTTGGCTTATATGGCATGAGCAGAAGAGCTACCACTTGGCGTCCCCGGCGAGAAGAACCCAGCGAAGATCCCACTACAGATGGAGGGTACCAAGACTAAAGGATTCGTCCATATAATTGTGTATTAAATAAATTAAGGGCATTAAAGTAAACTTAATACAATTAGGGCGACGAATAAGGATTTTTAGGGCGACGAATAGCAACCCCCGAAAGTAAAACCATGGCAGGATGCCCGAGTATGAATCCACAAGACAATCTTTGATGGTATCCAAAAAACCATCTCTTATGGGGGCACTTCCACTATGCTTCCACTTCCACTTCCACTATGCTTTAAAGTATTGATACTTTAAAGTAGGACTTGAAGTTAGACCATAACGTTAAAAGTCTAAATTAAAGTTGTATTATAACATAAAAGTACAATTTTCGTTTGTACCATAAAAGAATTTACACGATAAAGTATATATAACCTGAAATTGTACCGTAAATAAAAAAAATTAAAACACCAATGCTTTAAACCATTACAAAATTCCTCTCTTTAATGGTGCGCTAGAAGCCCCAACATGTCAACAGTTGTATATTTACTCAAAATTGTGCTTAATTGGGCTACACTGGACAAAGTAGGAAATGAAGTTCTATGCAAGGCTTGGATTGAAAATTTGGAGGATGTTTCAGTTAGCAATTATCAATCTACGATTATATTTTGGAGGTGAGTAGGAGTCGAATTTGCTTCTAAAGGATGGCGGTTTCACATACGAACGGGGCATGAATTCTCGATGGAAGACTATCTTTCATCAATATGGAATCGTGGAATGCGGCATCGAGCAGAGCAAGCATAACGACAATGAGCAGAGTGAGCCTAAACGATGTGGTTAGTCAAATTCTTATATAATTATCGTGCGTTTTATTTTTAAGGGTAAATACAATATATTAGCCACAACTATTATGATGCGGGGAATTATAGTCACAACTATGGAAATTCAAATTATTAGCCAAACGTTAACTATCTGTTAACAATTTCGTTAGTAATACTGACTAAACTTTTATATTTTAAAGTTATAAATTAAAAGCAGTCCGACATGGCTGTTGCCGTGGCCGATAACGTGCCCTTCTCCGTTAAAAATTCAATAACAGTAACAGACAGTTAGCCATATCTTGACCTGCAACAATAGTTATGGCTAATAATTTAAATTTTCATAGTTGTGGCTATAATTCCCCGCTTCATAATAGTTGTGGCTAATATATTGTATTTACCCTATTTTTAATCATGTTGTAAATTATGTAGTTTATACTTGTTAATCTACTTGAATTAATTGTT